GAATTCATGTATGAAAATAAAAAAATGAAACCAGTTGAAATTATTCTAATAATGGGGAAGGGGGATAAATTAGAAAGGTGGAGGGGGTGAAACTACTTAAGATATATTGTAAGCACTTATGTAAATGTCACAATGTTCCCACATACAACTATAATATGCTAATAATAAAAAAGAAAAGAAGATTCCACCTCATTCCTATTACTAGAATAGCAATCATCAAGAACAAAACCAACAAATGCTAACAAGGATGGGGGTGGAAGAGAAGAACCCTTATCTAGAGTGAATGTAAATTAATACAACCACCATGGAAAGCTGTATGGAGGTTCCTGCAAAATTTCAAGATAGAACTACCATATGACCCAGTAAGTCAGGATACAACAAAGACACCTAAACACCCACGTTTTGCTAAGCTATGGAAACAGCTCAGATGTCCAAAACTGATGAATAGATTAAGAAAATGAAATTATGGGCTGGTAGAGTGGCTCAAACAGTTATCGCACCTGCCCAAGCAAGTGTGAGGACCTGAGTTCAAACCCCAGTGCCACAAAAAAGAAGCAAAAGAAAATGAAATTATGTTGTTGAAGGTAAATGGATGGAACTGAAGATCATCATATTAAGTGAAGTAACCTGGGTTCAGAAAGAAAAAGGTCACATGTTTTCTCTCATATGTGGAAGATAGATGCATATACAACAAATGAAGCATTATCATATATTCATATATAGAGAGAACATGTTTCCAATAATGGAAGTGTTTGAGGTGACTAGGTGGAGTAGGGAAAGGAAACAAGAATGATAGAAAGTGAAAAATATTGAAATAAATTGCATCTGAGTAGGAATGAGTCACAACAAAATTCACTGAAAGCTGTTGAACAATACAAGGAAGGGGGAAAGGATAAAGAAGAGTAACAGAAGGGGTTAGACTGAATAAAGTATACTGTGCTCACAGATGAAATAGCATGGCAAAGCCCCTTTGAACACTAGACATACACTTAATGAAGGACAAGAATATGAAACAGGTCATGTTAAGGGAAGAAGACTAGTGTGAGGGGGAAGGTAAGTGAAGAGGATAAAGGAGAGTGAATATGGTCTATGTAGTTTGTATATGTGTATGAAGATGGAACATTGAAACCTGTCAGAGTCATTTTAAGAAAGGGGAGAGGGGATGAGGGAGAATAATGATGGGGAGAATCTAACCCAGGTATATTGTATGCATATATGGGAATGTCACAAAGAAACCCCTGTGTAATTATTATATATTAATAAAAAAGTTGAAAAGAAAAAAATCAGAATGAGGACTTGTCAAAGCAGGTCCAATGATGGTGAAAGCGCCTTTAGTCCAAGAGATCAGTGCTCCAGATGGCCACCAGATGGCGCGGGCTGTCTGCAGATCAGAGGAGAGCAGGTTTCATAGGCTAGAAATTCTGCAGCTGTCACCTGATGGGTGTTTGGGACATTTTAAGAGGATGGCGGTGCGGAGAATTGGGGGACAATTAAATAGATGTGCTGCCTCAAATAAGCAGCTACCCACGCTTTGCCGGCAGAGATCCATCTGCCCTTGGTGCACTTTGGGGACCATTGCTGACAGCTTGTTTAGCGTCTGACGCAGTTGTATCTATGCAGTCTTGGTGACACGCAGAGGATTACTAGGGCAGAAGAGGTGTGTATGTCGTCAAAAGAACTTTACTTTTCTTCTAAACAGTAATAAGGAGAAATTCAATGGTCACCAAAGTCAGAATCGGATTGGAAGGAAAGAAAGAAAGGGGGGAAAGAAAAGAAAAGAAAAAGTGCCTATAATTTCAGGCTTCCAAGGAGTCACAGCTCCTGAACCCAGAAGGAAATTGAGATGCCAGATTTCGTCATGCAGGAATGCAACGCAGTGAACTCTGAGCTGTGCGCTGGGTTCATGCCTCTATAGGAGTCAGGAAGAAAAGTGAACTGGGAGGAAGAGATGTTTAAAGGGAATGGATTCCTTGAATCCTCCTAAACTGGACTTGAGTTGCCAAGCATATTTGAAAGTCTGAACTTGAGGAATGGTGGGACAAAAGGGTATTTCATTGAGGGAGACTCAATTGGGCTCACCAACACATTTTTTTGCAAATTGTCTATTAAAAAGTGTCTCCTGGTTATTTAGAAACCTCCACAAGGTGAGAGGAAAAGGACTTAATGGGGCGAACAGGGAAGTGGAAGGGAACACTGTCCAGGTGAGTTAAAAAGGAACGACTTGAATTTTGTTTATATTTTGGTATTGGGGTTTGATCTCAGGGCCTCATGCTTGCTAGGCAGACACGCTTTACCACTTGAGCTACCGCCTCCAGCCCACGACTTCAATTTTTGTTCCTAGCGGAGACTGAATGTTGATAAAAATCAAGGAGACGAGGGAATGTTTTCATTCCGGAGCATTCCATGACATCTTCAGAGATTTTATTTTTAATCGCACCATTCCTTTGCTTCATGTTTGAGAAAGAACGAAAAGACTGGAGAGAGACGACGAACCTGCCTTAACTCAGGTTTGAAGTTAATAAATGGCTGTAAAACAAGGAAACTGGAACTATCAGTAAATTTGGAACTTGGAAACTTTATTGTCGTTCGGGGAGATAAGTTGTTGCGAACCGACTGCAAACGTGGGCTGAAAATATGGCGAGCTAATCTACTGTTTCCCTCCTGCCCAAATTCTTTTCAGGTTCTGCCCGCTTTTCCAGGCATTTGGCAGTGCCCTGCCTCACCCCCAGGACAACTACCATACATCCCAGAAATTCTTGGCTTCTGCACCAAAGAAGACAAATCCTGGAACCGTCAGGAAGCAAACTCCTTCCGGGATGTGGGTCGGAGGAAAGTTCTGCTCCGAATTCTCCCCAAAACAGAAAAACATCACCCCCTCATGTGGGTTGCTTTTTATACCTTTTCTTTTTTTACCTCAAATAACCAGAACCGTTTGGCGATGTAGACGACAGGAGTGGAAAATGGCAAATAATTTTTCCAACTCTGAGTCGGCCTTTTCTTTAACCGCGTTTTTCCGGTTGACTTTGTTTTATTAAGTGTTTTTGTGGCAATAACAGAGGAGAAGCAAACCTTGGCGAGCCAGCGGACCCACCAGTGTCTGCGCAGCAAACACAGCATGCAAACGCGGGGACCCAGGTGGAGAATGTAAACAAACCAAGCTCCTAGCCCTTGATCTTTATTTAAATGGCGGCTTGTTTATTGGTGTCATACTAGGAGGATTAATTAGATACATCTTCACAATTTGGTGTCTGACACTCCATCTTAGGAATGCCTTATCACAAGGTGTTAATTAGGGCCACTCAGCCACTTACACGTTTCCATTAAACACTGTGAGGGACTTTTCACAAGTATCAAGTTCTTTTTACTGTACGGTGCAAAAATATACAGGACTTGAAATAGACTAGGGCCAAGTCCTCTTTTTCCTGGCTGTATTTAGCATAGTCGGATACTCTACCGGCAGAAAATGGAGAGCACAATTGGAGAGCGCAGTTTTGAAATTCCACAGTATCTCCCAATACACCACTGTTGGATGTGGAAGTTAGGAAGGCTATGAGTTCCCCCTCCGGAGTCCAATGCTGTCATCCACAATAAATACATATTAAAAAGAAAATCATCCAACTATCCTTCTCCAGCTCTCCGGTGAGATTTTGGGCGACTTTGCCAAAGAGTTTTCAACAGGCACCTTTGGAAACGCAAAGCCGGAGTTGAAGCTACAAAGTCATGGTGATGCAGAAAGAGCTCTGGCCCCAGAGGATGCAGGGGTTGGGAGACTGTACATTCCAGGTATGTGCTCCTGGAGGCCTTAACTGGGTGCAGACGAGAAAGAAGAGCTATCTGATAGCTTGCCTCCCTGCAACTAATCCTCTTAGCAGCTGCATTTCCGCAGTGAGTAGTTAGAATGACCTTCCCAGCCAGGCCTTTATCCCAGGGTGAGAAGGGGGCTTAGAAGGGTTTGCAAGCTGGGCTTTAAGCCGTCTGCTGATAAGCCTTATGGGATGTCTGACAGGGACAAAGGACCTTCGCCCCCTATTCCTTGGTTGAACTCTTCCTCACACCTATGGTTCAGAAATATGAGCCAACTAAGTGGTCTAAGTGCAAGAAAAACCTCTGCCCAGTCAGTTCGCTTACTCTCCAGTGGGGTGGAACAGGCTGAATCCTCCTTTGAAATCCTCTAGCCCCAGCGGGTGCCATTGCCCCAGCATCACCAGCTAAATTTGGCAGCCATTGCAAGTAAGAACAATAGCCTTGTGGTGGGCAGGCTTCCTCCCTGAGTCACACCAAGGTGTGGGAAGGGCTGCGGGTGTTCTCAGGGAGCCTATGTTGGCCCAGAAAGTGGTAGCTGCCACTACCTCAGAAAAAGCACAGAAAGCTACATGACCAAGGTCCAGGTGTGGAGATTTTCAGGATTGGATTAAGTCTGAAGTAGGCATCTCCAGCGGCGAACACTCCCTTCCTACCCCACACCCAGCCAACACCCATTGTCCAGACTTCTCAGTGGGGTGAGGAAATAGGCCCATTCATCTTCAAGGAAAAAAGATAAAGAAAACATCCCCAACCCAGCCCCTTCATGACTCCAGTATACATTTAAGAGATTATAGCACTTTTCGTGGGGGTAGGGAAGACAGTGTTCACCAACTGGAGATGGGCAGAGGAAGAAGCAAAATGAGATTTTTAAAAGCAAAGACTAAAACCCAGAGAACAGAAAAGAGAGCTAAGCCCATTCCCATATTGAACCACATTTATTAAAAATGATTAGGACCGTACATAAAACTCTAAGGTCTCTAAAAAGCCCATAGGAGCTGTGACATCAGATTGTAGTTTCTTCACATACCAAGGTGGGGAGTTGGGGATGGCCAAGGAAGAGGATGAAGGAGTAGTTTTCCTTAAACATGATTCAAGTTTGTACAGAGTAGCTGAATATATTCTTAACTACCAAAGAAATAAACAGAATATACCCATATATCACTGAGACGATGAACTCTTCCCTTACCCTTGCAGTTGTTAAGTGATTTGCAAATTCTTTACAAAGCCAAAGCACCATTTTACATTATCTCAAATACCTATATAGCCTATTTGTACAATATATTCCACATTATTCTACAGTGTATCTAAACACATGGGACTGTACATTTTTAAATTTTCTCCCCTTCACTTCTCCTTCTCTCCTTCTTTTCCTCCCTCTCTTGCCCTTTCCAAAGTCCTTCAGGCCACCCCAGAACACAGTAAAAGCCTAGAAAGACCATGGCTTGTTCCAAAATCCTGTAAAGAATCAAAATCAGGTAAGACTAAAGCACTTTGACAAAGGTTTTTTTTGACTCTCTGGCCATGTGTCTTTAGCCCCTGATAGAAACAGCAAAAAGTCCCCTGTTGAAGCTTTAGCTGAGTCTTTCTCTTCCAGAAATGAAACACTTTAACATTCTGACCTTCTATTTTCTTAAAGATTTATAAGTAGAAATGAGAACCAAAGAATTTAACTCATTTGATAGTGCTGACACTCAATCTTCACAGCCTGCTTCTCTGAATGTTTAGTGTCTCCAATAAACAAGTCCAGAACCTTGAATAACCTTCCAATTTTGAAATATTTCAAAGTCCTCCATTAACTTTATTTTATAAGAAAAAAATTGCTAGGTCTGTTTCAGTTACCTGCAGCAATCAAAAAAGCTTTGGTACCTTCTTTTAGAGAATTGCACAAAACAGGATACATCAAGGTAGAAGGCAAATTTTTTTTGGCAACCTAGGCAAAGAAGACAACATAAACACCACCAAGTCCATCTGCAAAGAGTTAGCTAATTCTTACAAAGTTAAAAGAACTCTTTAGGGAGTTGTATAAAAAGCATAATATCCTCCCATGCCTTTTGAAGTTTCTTTACTGTACTCTTCAGCATTAATGTCCTCACACTTTATAGAAGGAGAATTTTCATTACTGGAGGTGCTAGGAGACAACCGCTTTCGCTTACAAGCACTGGTATATACACCTGAATCATTGGAATCTAGAGACTTGATGGAAGGGGGTGTTTCTATCCAAGAAGAGCTAATTTCCTCTTTGACTTTCTCCTTGGACAGCTGATCTTCAGGGAACACAGGAGAGCTCATTCTGGAGGTCCATGGTAGTCCAGCTGCCATCTTTCTCTGATAAGAACCTCGACTTCCCCACCCTGCCATTGCAGGGAAGGTTGGATCAGGGTAATATCCCAGGGCGTGAGATGTCTGGAGGGGCAAGGATTTAATACCATATGGGAGCAATGTACTAGAAGTATATTCAGATTCATAGGGACCAATGTCTAGTTTGTTGGTCCCAGGTTGTTGGACAGGTGTGACAAGCCATCGCTGGGGAGGGTTGGCCACCTCTTCACTTTGTTGGGGTGAAAGGAGGCCATTGGTCTGTGGCACAGTTCTCTCACCATTGTAATACCGGGCTTGAGGTAAAGTGTTGACAAAGGGCTCCGGGAAGAAGTTTTGAACACCATACCGTCCTCCAGGGACAATCTGATGGGATCTAGGAGAATCCGTGGGAGATGGAGTTAACCTGTCATTTTCTGAAGCGGTGTACATGCTACAATATAAAAAGAAACACTTCAAAAAAAAAAAAAAAAAACAGCTAATGTTGTTCCCAAACAAACTACGGCACCCAAAACAAAAAAGGGTTTGCTGTCAATGCTGTCAATTATCTGAATTGAGAAGGCTAATATTTTGGACAAAAGGAGCAGAGGGCAAGGGATATCCTGACCAATTTTAGCTGGACTCTTGGCTCATGGAAAAAATTTCCCACTATTTAAGAAAGGGTTTCCTCCCAGGCATTAAGTATTTAAACTTTAAGAAATCGACTTTTGCAAGTTTTAGAACAATCCTACTTGACAATGTGATGAACAGAGCACTGGCTACAGTGTTAGATGATCATATTTTAACCTTGCTTTTTGATGTTGTGAAAATATACCCTTTTCATTTTAGGTTTTTCTTTTGTAGCCATGGCAGGGGGGAGTAAAAATAGCTGCTCTTGTGAGTATAAAAAGTTGGGTCAAATGAAAAAGGAACGTATATACATAATGCAAAATTTTAAAATTTCAAATCTCTAATTCAAATGTAGAAAAAAGGCATGCCATAGTTAAGCCCTTAACATTTCATTAGAAATTAACAAAACCTTTCTATAAAACTTCTAAAGCAAAATTAATTAAAGCAAAAAATTGCAAAAATAAGAATTGGTAGAAATCCAATAAGAAAGTTCTTCCTAGAATATGCCCTCAGCAAAGTGATGACATATGTCCTATTCAAAACTGACCATACAAGTATGAACAAAAGCTGTACTTACGAATCATAGTTGTCTCTGAAGCCTTTTGCAAAGGGGTTATGATCAATCTTTAGTTGAGTAATCTAGATAGGGGAGAAGAATAGTCATTGGGTGCTTTAACATACAGAACCTAGCTTAAGAGAGTCTTCAGAAATTTGGGGTACTCACATCAGTGTTTTGGTAGGCAGTCACTGCAATGAATTGTGTTTCTGAGAAGGTAAAGGTCTGGGTCTTTGAGGGTTCATTCAGGTCCTCCACACCATCCTCCGTAACTTCAACAATGTGCAGTCGTGGCTGGTATTTGTGTAAAGACTGTAAGACTATCATCTGGAAATGTTACAAAAAAAGAGTTGCCAAATCTAAAATGTCTAAAAGGCTAAGAGTAGATTTTAACAACCTATATATTTTGAGATGGGACTCCTGCTTGCTGCAATCAACAGTTTTCTTTATTATTGCCATTTTTAGGATCTTATCATTGCTATTTTTGAAACTTAAAGTTTAACTCCATCTGTTATCTGGATAAATGCACTCTTTCCTCTTAGTTTCCTAAGTCCTCCAAAGATTTCAATATTTCTTTTCCCAATAGCCAACTATTAATGAAATCCATTAAGAAAATGAAAATAAGGTTTAAAAAAAAAAGGTGAGCAAACAAGTCACAACTGCAAATATAATAAACACAGTAAAAAGAGACTGAACTCTTCTTAGAAAAGAGACCAGTAGCCAGAGGATACCCCCCTCTTCTTTTGTCACTTACCTGGGTGTTGTTGTTATTTGCACCTTTGTTATTGGTGAGTTTTAATTTCCCAAAGGAAATCTCTTGTCTCATCCAGTGGGAACCAGTATTAGGAGACTCTGGGTGAACATACATTTTGTTACCTATGAGAAAATGAAATAAAACACAAAACCCAAGCATATAGGACTGTCCAGGAATGGTGGTATGGGAGGGATGTTTGTTAGCTATGGACAAGATATAAGACCCAGATTCTCAGCACAAGTGCTTACAGAGGTCAATGGAGAACCGCAGGGCTCTACTGATACCCTCCCCTCCCAAGGTTCCTGTGCGTCCATCCTTCCTTGGACAGACACTCAACAGTATCTCAGAACAAAAACAAGGCCAACAGAAAATGATTCTTAAAGATTAATTTGAACCTTCTAAAGCTGTAAGGTGGCTGAACTTTTATGGGTGAATTCAACCTTGGCCAGGGCTTTCTCCAATGAACATTAAACAATGCCAGGAACCCTTTGCACTGAGCATCTCATATGACTATTAGTTTCTTAAACCTAGGGTCAGGGAAGGGGCGAAGGGTCATACTTAAAGTTTCTGTGTATTTATATAAGGCAAGAAAGACTTAGCAATTCTCCTCTCCTGGAAACAACCAACACAGAGAAACTCATACTAACATCTCTAGGCCCCAGTTTGGGGGAGGGGGTAGAACTAAACGTAAGTTGTCTGAGGTGAAGGTTCTGATTTCTTCCCTGCCCACGCCTCCTTTCTCCTCACCCTGCATGTTATTGTCAGCTTTGCCACAGGTCACCCACTTGCCCCCCTGGAAGCGCCAGTGGTTAGGGTCGGCCAGAACCACTTCTACGAACACGTTGTAGTGGGCGGTGGGATTGAGTCCGTTTATGTTGAAGCTCAAGAAAGGAAACATGCGCCTGTGCAAGGGAACAGAACCAGGATAAGTGTTTTAAATCCGGATGCCTAAGAATGCGCCAGGACACTCCCTGATTCCCCCAGACACCCAGGGCAGAGTAGGACATTTAGAAGTCTGCAATAAGCAAAAAACAGATAAATCAACCCGAAACTATGAAATTTTTTTTGAATTGATAACTCTTAGAACATCTCCACCTTTTCTGAAATAATCTGTCCCAACATCAGTAGTTCCCTAATTTACATGCTCCTGAAACCTTTCCAGACTTAGGTTCTCAGTTCTTTCAGACACTTAATAATTTTCCTCTGGGGATGTTAAAAATTATTTTGAAATACACAAGTACCAGAGAACATTACGTTTGTGTGTGTGCATAAACTTTAGACTAAAAGTCCCCTTTATGTGCTTCTCTCCCAGCACCTACTCCTCACTGTCTCCCGATATAACTTAGCAGTTGGGTTGGGTGTTTTATCAAAATTTTGTAGTCCTTGGAACCTGAGACAAGTACGACTCCAAGCCTACTTAAAAACCTATCCACCTACCCTGTAAGAGACAACCTTGTAAGAACAATGTTCTAGGCCTCCCGTACATCTCCCAGAGGCGCCAGGTGTAGACCGAGGAACCTAAAACTACAGGAACCCAGATACTGCGCTCAAGCAGTAGCCTGCTCTGGCTCTTTTTCCCATCCGCAGCTCCTTGCCAACACGCAGTAACCCAACATACCCCCCAAGCAGATGAACCTCTTGAATCCAACCTTGTGGACAAGCCCAAATGTCATTTCTGCCTCCTTCTCAATCCAGACGAGAATGTGGAGAGGGGAGGGGACAATGCAGCCATAACCTTAGCCCTCTACTCAAGCCTTAGGTGTGCTGATGGAAAGGGATGCAGCTTTGGAGAGGCGGTGTCTCCCTTATTGAGCGCGGAAAAGCATTCAAGAAGAGAGTAAAGCCAGCGGCCACAACTACCTCACACCGGGTCGTCCCCAGGACCACACTCTTCCTTTTTCCCCGCACCCCAGGGGCCCCTTCACTCTGAGCTCACCTGCCCTGTTTAGTTATGATCATCTCGGTTTGGTGACGGTGGAATTTGAGCCACAGAGGCCGGTTACACAGGTAGACATGGGCGCGGAAGCCGGAACCTGGAACCCCCAGGCTCCCCAATCCTCCGCAAGATCCCGCCGCTGCCGCTGCAGGGTACGACCCATAGAGCGCAGACCCTTGGGTGTACTGATAAGCGCCCGGGCCGCTGTCCCCACCGCCGCTGCTGCCCGCGCCACTGCCTACGCCCGCTCCCGGGCCGAACTGTGCCCTCCCGGGTGGGCACATAGCTGTGGGGAATCCACCGGGGGGCAGCATGGAGCCATAGGGGTAACGCGCGCCACTGGAAGTAGGATAAACAGATCCGTGGGATCCCCCGGCCGCCGCCTGATACTGGAAGAGCGAGCAGGGCGCAGCCAGCTCGGAGCCTTGGGGCCCGGGAGACTGAAGGTAGTAGCGCTCGGAGCTCAGGCTGTCCATGGAGTAGCGCGCGGTGGCGGCCGCGGCTGCAGTAACGGCAGCGGCCGAGGGCAGCTCTTCCTCCCCACAGGGGGAGCCCTTGCGGCCGTCCGGGGGCCCTGACTTGGCAACTGCCGTGGCGCTGGCAAAGGTGTCTCCGGCGTCGGCGTCACTGAGCATGGCAGCGGGGGGCCCCGCTCTTGCGTCTGTGGGGTCCGCGTTCCCCGCTTCGCACGAGAGACTGCTGGAGAACTTCTTAGGCGCTTTGTCTAAGTCCAGCCTCTGAGGCGAGAGGGCAACGCTGGGGAGAAGGCTGGTGCTCCCTCCCCCGCCGCCTCGCGCACCCTCCAGGGGGTAGAAATGTGCGCCAGGCAGGTTTACAGAGCTCACCAAGAGCTGCTCCCCTAACTGCATGCTTTGCAAATTGCAGACGGCAGCTGGCTGCTTCCTCTCCTCCCGTGGTCTTATTATAAAGGCAGGATGGGGGAGCCAGCGCCCTCTTCCGAGGGAAGGTAACTTCCCTTCCTTCCTCGCCCCGGCTACCCACCTGAGGACTAGGAGACTGCTACAGCCCTCATTTCGAATCCAGCGTCCTTTCCGAAAGGAAAGCGCGCTGAGTTCCTAGGTAGGAGATGGAAAGTGACCAAGAAGCACTCTCCTTCCTCTCAGTCCTCCTTGCCTGTATGGACCCTACTCTCACACCCAGGAAGATGAGGACTTAGATCCCATACACCCATCAACTTACGCCGTTCAGCCCTATTTCTATTACCAAACCATCCGTCCACTTGATCACTTGGAAACTTGCGGGCTGTTGCTACGTGCTTATATGTGTGCGGCCAGGGAGGGGCTTCGCAGCTCCACAGTTTGGAGATCCTTCTATTGGCTGATGGAGGTGACACTAATTCAATTAAGCATTTATTAATTGGATCAAGTTGCCTGCGACTTTCTTTTTCTTAGCCTGTTTTATGTTTTGTTATTGTTTTGGGTTTGGTGGAGTTTTGGGGGGAATTGTTTGTTTTTGAGACTATGTCCCTCTGTGATAATCAAACTTGGTGTCTGTATTTCGCTGGGGGAAACAGGGTTTGAGGTCCTCATAGCAAAGTCCACCCTTGGCATAAGAGTCATCCCAGTGCTGTGCGCTGGTAGCTCAGGAGCAGGAATTAGAGGCTGGAGGGAAAACATGTCTGCAAGCTGACAGCTTGAAGAAAAGTGCGGGTCTCCAAACTGCATCAAATTAGGGCGAGTTGGAGAGCGACCCAAAACAGTCTCTCACTGTCAGAGGCTGTAATTTGAAGGCACACCTTCCTTTTTACAGAGAACTCCCTGACTTTCAACACAGCGCACCTCTTTTTGTTAGGTTCCATCTTTTTTACCAAATGGGAACGGTTTGTGAAGAGAATCCTCTCGTTCTGCTTTTGGGATTCCCGGACGACGACAGCCCACTGGCATACTTGACCATCCAAGCTCTCAGAGAAGGGTGGGTTACTGAGACCAAAGAGCCAAACACTCTAATCCACGCCAACAAACCTACTTTCAGGAAGCAAACACTTTTTTTTGCCTACAATTTAAAATTCACGCTGCTTAGTTTTCCTGAATTCCGGATGGTTTCTACCCTCTCAGCCAACAACATCGTCAGTGTGACCTGACACCAGGACACAAAGGTTCCCTAGCAGCTGCGCGGTTAAGATTCCCAGCGCCTCTCCTCTGCGGCACAATACAGAAGGCGGAATAATCAGTGAAATAATCAGTTTGATATTGAATTAAACTCCTTTGCCCCAGCTGCCTGTTTCGTCCCTGCGTTTCCGCAAACAATCTAAAACGTCGCTGTTTTATTGTTTTATTTTTACAAAAGGGGGAAGCACGTTCCATTCGGGTAAGAAGCCTGAATATTCGCTGTTGATAAGCAATTACCAACGCTTTCCAGTAATCGCTCGCGGAGCGCGTTTTCCGGCTGAGATATCTGGATTCCGCTCCCCCACCGAATGCGATCACACGGGAAACTTTTTGCGTACAACAGATGAAGTGGCCTCAGGATTTGCTAAGCGCGAAAACGCCCGTGTAGAACAACGCGAAGCTTTCCAGCCCGCGTTCAAACCATTACAGCACCAGCATCCGCACATCTGAGTTAGGAGAGTCAAGCAATCCTCAGTGCACTTGACTGCTCCCGGAGATTTATCAGGGTTTTTGTGTAATGATGAAAACTTGGAGGGCACAAAGTTTTTCAGGGTCAAGGCTCAGCTGGGGACCTAAGAAGAACAAGTTAAGACCAGTTGACTCGTGCGATGGCCTTGTAAGCTTGGGTCCTGGCCAGCACTGTGTAGATTCCCGCAAACCTGGCATCAAGCATGCCCTATATTTTCTCACATAAATTTAGTTTTTAGTGTGACTGCCTACTCTGATCACTTTACTGTCCACGCATAGCTCCCCTAGTTTTGTTTTACTCTGACCCCGGGAAGTCTTGAAAATTGATTTTTCAAATAGTACAGCGCTTCTGTAAAATTCATTTTCAAAGAGGGGGTTGCGAGCTCAAGGGAATGGAAGGGGCCACAAGGCGCTGGCGACATAGCCTTTTGCTAGCGAGTGCTTGTTGCGACTCATGGGCACCTCCACATTAGCCTTGACCTGAGCTTCAGGATGTTTGATGCAAAAGTAGGTGTCAGACTGACTCTCACGTCATTTGCCAATAGGGTGACCAAAAGTATACGTCGATTTTGCTTTGCGCTTTAACGCACCCAGAAGCTGGCCTTGATGTCCCTTCAAAATGCTTTCCAAGCGACCAGGGAAACGCTGCTCATGGCAGAGTGCCATTGCAGGCAACAGGCATCGTTCCGACCCACTCTGGCGCAAATAACACAGGCCAGCTGTCCCCCGCGCTGTATCAGAAAGAGTTGATTCTATTCCATTTTCAGAGCAAGCTCGTGAACCGCGTGGGTTCATTCCGAATGCTACCAAATTATTAAATATATGCACGGTATGTATAATTAGGATTTGAATTGATTATTGGAACAGGGAATATTTTTCCCCAACTTCCAAATAAACCAATTATGATACCCAAACTCTACCACATTTTACAAATAGAGAAGCAAAGTCAAATTCAAAAAGAATTAAAACAGTCTCTATAAATCTACTCTGGGACCCAGGATTTTTAGAATATGGAAAATGTGTATTATATTACATGTTATATTACATCTATAAACGTATATAACAAATTCCTCTTTAAAATGAAGAAAAATACTGTTTCAAATAGTGATATTTTTTTTCTGGCTGCATAGAGACAAAGAAATCTCATTTAATGGTTCCGTGTTAATTAACTAATTACATTTTATTATTACATATGAACTATAATAGTCCAAAATACCTGAAGAGTTACAAAAGAGCAAACCTGTAATTTCCTACTTAGAATGGATTTTCCTTTTTCTGGCTCAATAATACTTATAAATGGGGAAAGAGGCATTAAAAAAATGTTTTCTTATGTTCAGACCACATCTTAAAATGCAAGCACTCTTTTCTAGAAAAAGGACCAGAAAAGAAAACTTCAGCAAACATGTCAGGCAGCACCTTACTTAGATTAGGTGAGCAAATAACAGAGCCTTCCAGCCTGTTTGCTGTTTGATTTCAATTACACCCCAAGCTTCATGAAATCCACATGAGACATTTATTGAAAGGTGCCTGGTTTTATGTGGTTCAACTGACAGGGATACATTGAAACAAAAACATCAACACCAGGAGGAGATCCCTTAGCACCCAAATATTGGTTGGATTAATTCAAATCTTTCATCTTCCAGCCTGAGATGAAACAAGCAGGAACCTATGAGAGATATACGAAAGCAAAGGCCAAATCTGTGTGGTAAGGATGCTTTATTGTTCCAGGCAATAATACCAACTTCATTCCATCAGTTCATTTTAATAACAAAATTATTGCCAACTTGACCAGGAGACTTCTTTTCCCTCTTAAAGGTAACTACTATCAATGAATGAATCTTTTTAAGGCAAAATAAGAAGCACTTGGGATAACAACACTATTATACAACAAATACATACACATGTGTATGAATAAATTACAGTGGTTAGTTATAGATGCGTGTAATGATACATGGTTTACCTCCCGTCCACCCCTGCCTCCAACTCCCACACAACCAAGGGGGCCCATATAAATTCCCCAATAAATTCTACTATTTTCACCCCCACTAAAAATGTGTTATCAAAACACTGTCCATGTTATTCAAACACTTTGTAAATTCTGAACAGACTTGCTGCGGGTTCTCCTTTTAACCCTAGGAAAACATTCCAACATTAACCGGCCACCACCACTTTGCCTGGACTCTGGGAAAATGTCAATGGTTTTTTTGTGGCAAGTTGGTCCTTTTACTATTTATCTATGGCCTTTCCTTGTTGATGTTGCATTTTATTTCACCATCTCAGGTTCACTATTTGGCCCTTTGTTGTCTGATGGCCAAATCTGCCACCTCTGTTGTGCTTTCCTAAGAGAGAGCTTTCATCACCATAAGGTTGATCGTGTTTCTTTTCTCTTTCTCCCTCTCCCTCTTGTTCTCTTTCTAATGTCTCATAAGATAAAAAATTTTGACAAGAGCAAGTAATTTTCATTCTGCTGACAACAGCAATATCTCAACAAGTTTCACTTTTATAATAATTTATGTAACTTATATTTCACTTTTATAAAAATTTATGAATATATTTCACTGAAATAAAACCAATCAGCTTACATAAACAAAACACCAGTCCCACAAATGTATGAGGCAAAATATTATATTAATTTCACTCTATTTTTCAAACCAAAAATGAACATTTTAAACCATAATCTTGGCTATCCATCCATGTATTTAAGTTGCTAAGTGCAATTGTTGTTCACTGATAAAATATGATGAGAATGGGAAATTCGGAATGAAGGTTAATAAATACACTAAAAAGGGCTTATTACAAAAAAATAAAATATCTTCTTCTAAACACTGAATCAATAATCTTTGGCAGAGACCCATAATCTTGATTTACTTTTTATGAAAGTATTTTTTTTAACTGCAAATGAATGTCTGGATTTTGCTGCTGTTTTATTATCATCATCTTTTTCTTCATCATAATTTTAGGAGTACATATATTCATAGAAATAATAAGAAATGCCACATGAGGCAAAAACTAAAATGCTCTCGACAAAGTACATTATGGGAATGTTTGGTTAATTATTGCAACATTAAAGTATAAAAATTATGTAGGGCTCCATCTGTCTTGCTTACTTTTCCATCTTGAACCACCTGGCATTTAGTTGGTATTCATCTGTTAATTAAAATAAGGGGGTTACCAAATCTGTGTATTGGAAGAGTTAACATAGCACATAATCAGGTCTTAAGCTTATAGCCATGAAGACCAAAATAAAAATGTGGGTTCTTTTTTTCCCTTAA